CTCCTTGTCTCAATAAAACCCATTTTATTTAGTTTAAAGTGAATTTCTCTACAGCAAAGTCCTGACCAACAAGAAATCTTTCAAGAGATTTCACAACTACAGACCTTTATCAGGCTTGGAGAACTGCCAGGCCGATAGCTTCCAAACACCATGCTGCAGCAGCAATGACTTGCCAAGAAGTCAGGAACAGATCTTCACCCTAATGAATTGAAATTATTGTCTCCTGCAAACACCACTCCCCTTTCGCTCTTCTTTATTCCCTATGGGAGGGGCCATTCATCCTCCACCTGAGCCTTTACTCCCAAATTGACCCTTGTTCCTTAACTGTTCCCTTCGTCTGGCAGCTCTGCGCATGTGCACTCTGGGAACAGGCTCCAGCTGTTCTTCTGCCCCACTGATTTCTGACTCCAAAGGCAGCTGATAACTGTCAGACAGCCCTGGCCCCATCTCTGCCTCTGACACAGAGCCTTCCCCAGACTCTGGGACTAGCCCATGTTCCTCCTCAACCTCTTCACTGTCCAAATCTGCTGCCAGCTCTGCTAGCCACTGGTGGCCCACAACATCCAGAGGTATGCAGGTGAGGGGACTTCTCTGTGGCCTGTAGATAGGGTTGAAGAGGCTGATTGTTCCAACCTATTGATATCTTGCCTTGTGTGCCTTGCCGTACAGCAGCTTAAAACATTCAGGATATTATAGTTTTCTTTCAATGTGGAACAGTGGAAGTTAACCTCGTTTTGTGCAAATTAAAAACCTGTCAGGGCGAGTTGTGTCCTTCGTAGAATCCACAAAAGCACTCGCTCATCTCCCTTCTTCAGAGTGCTAATCTGTTTTGATTTCTCCAGCTGGAAGGATACATTTTGGAGAGGGTATGAAAGAAGATTATATAGCAATATCCGGATAGGGAAAGCCTTTTAAGCCGTGATATTATAGATATCAAACAAGATCCATTTTTTTCCCCCTGTCAACAACTCAGTCCTGCTTTGGCACTTTTCTTCAGAGGCTAGGAAGCAGAAAGGGCGAAGGAGCAGAAATGCCTTTTCCTGCAGCGATCCTGAAATATGTTTTGATATAAAACCAGAGGCAGAATATCTCACCCCTCAGCCACCCAACGGATTCCCGATAGCCTAAATCTCAGAAGGAAAGCATGTTTCGCTGATCCTTCTAAGTTGTGTTGCAATGATTCCCACCAAGATGTTGGTCTACAACATCCCTTCAGGTGGTAGCCGTACAGAAACTTTTAAACCTCGCCGAAAGAAATCCCATGGAGATTTATTTAAAAATGGATACCGAGTCAAATCTGGGCACAGTAACCTGGAAAAGGAAGAGACACATACATTTCGACAGAGTTTGGGCTCTTGTTACAGAGTTGGCTACCACTGGGGTAAGAAACTTTCAGCTGACTGAGGGACTGTTTCTTTCTTTCTTTCTTTCTTTCTTTCTTTCTTTCTTTCTTTCTTT